TATGTGTACATTGTATTTATTGTGTGTCCGTCGCCCACTAACCTCCATTGTCTGTTTTTCTGTAACATGAAAGCCGATTGTTTCCGGGATATTATTTTAACTGATTTAGTTTTCTGATGAATTTCACTTTATCGGCCAGAAAATAACGCTCGCCGTTCCACAAATAAATTTTTGCTAGTTTTGCATTCATGTCGAAGTCGTGTCTGTGTTAATGAGTCGGACGCTCGTCCCGGGTTCCTATCATGTATTCTATACACGGCACCCATACAAGATGGAGGGAGATCGCCGGCTGTTCCTTTCTCAGCTCCGGGTATCGGTGATTGATCGAGTCCGGAGGGGGAATCTTCTCTTCACAGACAGGATCCGGAACTCGGTGATCAACTGAACCGTTCCCTCTCCGCCTTCCAGAAAGATCCGGGGTGAAGGCGGCTGAGGGGAGAACCTCGGCTATGACCACGGCTGGACCTCCGATCTCCATCATGGACAGTCAGGGAGGTCATTGCTGAGATTTGTGGGCCAGTCCTGATCCCCTTCCCCATCATACACTGAGCGGCCAGATTATTATGCCCCTCCCCCCCATCAGTACTTAGTTGGGCCGCCTTTTGCCTTCAGTACCGCGGCGGTTCTTCTTGGCATTGACTCCGCGAGATGGTGAAAGGTGACGCGAGGAATCTGACGCCGCGCCTGATGAATAGCGCCGTCCAGTTCTGTGAGATTTGATGGTTGCGGAAGCAGCCGCCTGATTGGCTCTTTCACCTTCCTCCCACAAATGCTGCAATTGGATTGAGATCTGGTGATTGTGGGGGCCACCTAAGCAAGGTGAAGTCTCCCTCGTGTTCCTGCACAATACGAGCACCGCGGCATGGCGCATTGTCTTGTAGGAAGAAGCCGTCTCCATTGGTATACGCCATCAACATGATCGGCGACGATACTTTGGTATGTTGTGCTATTCAGACGTTGTTCCACACAAATAAAAGGGCCCAAATCATGCCGGGAAACCACACCCCCAAACCATAACACCGCCCCCTCCAGCTTGAAGGGTTGCATGTGGGGCGCATGCTTTCATGCGGTTCCCGCCAAATTCTCACTCTGCCATAGAGATGGGTCGCTCATGAGCGATCCGGATCTATTGAGCGGTACACTGCGTCGTATGGGATATGGAAGACGCAGGTTGCAGCACCTTTGGCTGCAGGTAACAAGATAAAACGTCTCCAATTGGCACAGGAACACACGGAGTGGACGGTCGATCGTTGGAAGGAGGTCATGCGGTCCGATGAATCACATTTCCAGTTGCATCATGCAGATGGCAGAGTAGAGATGGGCAAAACGGTTCGCTCACTGAAAAGATCCGGATCTTTTAAATAGCTCATGGTTCACTAAACTGCTCTTTTTACTATAGGAGAGGAAATGAGACGGGGGAGGGGGGTATTCTGAGGGAGGGAACGGGAGTTATTTTAAAAGTAAAACCATTGCTTTCAGAGTAAAACAAAGCAGTGCGTTCAGAGATCATTGGAGAGGATCCCCGATTGAGATCTGCAGTCATTTCATGCACTGTGGTCCTTCTGTTGTCTTGTACCAGTCTTGCCCCTCCCCCGTTCTGCCCTAACATTGACTAGTCGCTGACGGCCACAATTCGCACGCTCAGACCCAGATGTTCGGCTGACAGTCCGGTCTTTAAACACTTTAACAATGAGCCGCTCCTGAACATGTAACGCATTCTGCTGTTTAGCTGATACTCGCTCCATGGCTCCGAGCGCCAACAATCATCCCGCGTTCCAAGGCTGTTACATCGCGTTGTTTCCCCGAATCTTCCCAATCACTTCTACTGTCGTGGCAACCAACCCGCTTCCCTATTTATAATAATCCGGCCACTCGGTGTATATAATAATCCGGCCACTCGCCGTTTATAATAATCCAGCCTCTGTGTGTATATAATAATCCGGCCACTC